TGGAAATAGATTATGTAAAATTCTCAAGGCCATATGACTTAGATCCATTCTTTTAGAAATAGATAAGAATGTCATCTATATAATACAATTGTTCCCTGTTTAGGTAACATTGAGACTTACTTGAACCCAGCAGAGGAATTTCCTTTATTTATACAGTATGAGACAGTTGCTTCCATTATTTCACAAGAGGCGATTCAGAAAAAATATTAGCAATTATCAAGAATCCTCTAAGAACCATCAGGATTTTATTGTTAGAAACTGCCAGTGTTGGATGTGAAGAAAGAAACTGAACACCATGTGAATGTTTCCAAATGCGGGTAATATAATAAAAGCCGTCTTATATGAAAAAGCCTTTTGACCCTATCTATGCTGTGCTCGCAGTGCCCCTCCCTTACAGCAGTAGAGAAGTGGCAAAAAGAATCAGCCTCTTCGATCTTTTATTTGACCTATTTGATGTCAGGACTGAAGATCTTATAAATTTAAAATATCGAAGGAAGGCAGAATATAGAGAGTTACAGTAAATATATTCATCTTACAATGCTCTGAATGAAAGTGGAAATCTTAAAACTGTATGCATTGTATTTGCTTTTAGGAGCAAGAAAGTTGCATTAACAGTCCCTGTTCAAAGTGAGCTATGGAGTGAGGGCCACCAAGTCAGAAGCATTAGCTGTAAGCAATGTGGTTTGCTGGACAGCGAGCGCCAGCATCGCACACCTTGGCAGAAAGCCTTAGCCTCAGCCAGATACACACAGTGTTCAAGGAGAAGCAGATAAACATCGACCACTGCTGACAGACAGAGAGAACTAGTCTACCACATCTTGGGTTCTTGGCCTTTATTTCTAGTAACACAAATACAAGTCAGATTTTTCTTTCCCATGAAGTAACTAATTACTAGGTAGGTTATTTCAAGTCTGAGCATTACTACAAAGAAAAATAAATTCCTTTCTGGCACCACTTTAAAAGAAAAATTTCAGTTGAATTCAGTTCCTTTAATATAAATGAACATAATAATAGCTTCTGAAAAATCTTTAAAACCTCCCTATCTCATCCTTTCTTCATTCATACTAAAAATAGTCTTTAATACTCAGATTTTTTTATGACAAAGTTTTGAAAAAGTGAAGATATTGGTAAATTATGGGCATAGTTTAGAATAGTTCAAA